TTGAAGAGTTCTATTCTTTTAAAGGCGATGTTCAACTCAGTCGCAGTTCCTCTCTCATGGCTTTCTCATGCAGGATCCACTGCTACGTATAGCAAAGCAATGGATATCATCACCTTTCAACTGGTGAATGACAAGAAAATCCGTTTGTCCAAGAAAATCTTTTGCCAAATTCTGGATATTCCCAATTCTCAACTTGTTACTGATCTCACTTCTGCACAAGTTATTTATATGTTTAATGAGATGGGTCATCAACCCCACTCACGAAGATTAGTGATTTCAAGAAGTCAGCTCTTCCAACTGTTTCGAATTTCTTGTTTGGAATTTTTCTTCGATGCTTGACAGGTCGAAGTGTTGGATTAGACAAAGGTCGCATGGAGGTTTATGCGATGATAGCAGGCTTGTACTATGATCTTTCTGTTGATTACTCTACACAACTGTGGAAGGAATTCCAAAAGAGTGTCGAAAACACAAATATGGTTCAAGGCATTTCGTGTGCTAGGTATTGGAGTTTGATACTTGGTTATTTCTATGAAAAAGAAGGAATTGCTGTCCCTGCTGATGAAGAAAAGGCTGAGTTTCTGAAGTATCACTTCCCAAAGGAAGTTTCAGATGATATGGAAGTATTCACACACATTGCTTGGATTCCTGATGCAATGTTAAAGAGGGTTGAGCCAACAAATTCGGTGTTGGTTGAGTACTTGAAAACTATCAATCCAGATGTTGAGACTGGAAAATTATTGTCGAAAGAAGAGGCTGGTCCTTCCAAGAAGTCAAAACGTTCTAAGAAGGATGCTAAGGCTACACCTGAGAAGACAGTGCACGAAACTAAGAAGTCTCCTGAGAAGATTGTGTACGAATCCACGAAGTCTCCAAAGAAGCATGAGACAGTAGAAGTGAATGTTTCGACTGTTGTTATCAAACCAGTGGAACCTGTTGATGATACTGTAGTAGTAGAGAAAATTCCTTCAAAATCTGGTGTTTTTCGAAGGTTAAACAAGAGGACTAGGGGTTCACGAAAATCTTCTGATGGTTTGTTAAAATCTTCTCCTTCTAATGTTCGTAAACCACAACTTTCTCATCAAGGGGTCATTTTTCGTGAGGTTCCAGCTCCAGTTTCTCCTTTGTCAAAGAAACGTAGAGCTGAAGACGTGGCTAAACATATTTCAAAGAAGAAGAAAAGGCAACGAAAGTTGGTAATCCAAGAGGAGTCATCTGAAGAAGAAATAGTTCCTGAAACATCAGAACCAATTGTTTCTCAATCTGTATCTACTCCTGAGAAGACTATTGTCATACCACCCGAAGTTTCGTTAACTGAATCACATACTGAGGAGGTTTGAACTTCAGGCATTTTTACACACGTATCTGATATGGATGTAAATGTCAATATGGGTGAGGGAGAGTCGAACAAATAAGTTGATGCTACTACTCAAGGTATTCCTATATCTTCGATAACAGATACTTTCGTGTCATTACCTCCTTTTATTGTTCCGAATACTACAAGTTACCCAACCTTTGAACACATTCTTCATCAACCCTTTACAACTCTTTTTCCATCTCAATCCACTGATTCACCCAAAATCGATTCACCTGTCAAAACTTCACCTATTGTTGAAAATGATACTGACAACGAAGGTTTTGGAGGCACGTTTGAAGATTTGCAGTTTGATGATGAAGAAGATCACTTTCCTGATCATATGTTGATGACGATGAAACAATTCAAGATTCTCAACAAGAATTGAATTCTATTTTCAATCTCAAGCAGATTTGGGGAGTAGTTCGTCTGTATCCAGTATGGAAGTTGATAGTTTGTTGAAAACCTTCGAAGCAAAAGTGGTGAATAAAGTTTCTGGAATGGTTCGTGACTGAGAGACTCGACTCTTGGAGAAGATTGATCACAATGATCAGAATGACGAGTTAATGGTGAATTCTCTAACTTCGATGTTTAGAGGGGAGGTGAAAGAATTCAAGCATTTGGTGAAGGAACGACATGTGTTTATTGTTTCAGATGTGAAGAAAGTGAGGGAAGATGTGAATTTGCAACTTCAGGAACTTCGACAGGATATGCAAAAGGAGATTACCATTGTGCAAAGGGATTATGCTTCGATCAATCAAAAAGTTGACATTATTTGTGACGCTGTTACCAAATATGTCAAGTTGTACGAAGATTTGAGTCCTCAACTTACTCAAATTTCTACAATGGAAAATCAAAGTTTTATGGAAATGCTCAAGCTGCTGAAGGAGCTAAAAGATTTAACTGTTAAATCAGTTTCATCTCCGTTGATCACTCCAGAATTTTTGTCTCAGAAATTCGTTCATTTTGAAGCCATTTTGAACCAACAATTAGCTCCTCTTTCTCACATTTCGAGCCTTCTTCCAACGAATGCCCCACCTGTTTTCACAGGGGTGCAAAGGGGAGAAAAGGAGGTTGGTGGTACGAAGGCTGGTGGTGAAGATTTGCATGCAGATGCAAAGGTTGTTGGAAAGGTGTTTTCTTCAAAGATTCCAATAAAAAAACCAATCATGTCAACAGCTGGGCCAGTTACTTCTACTATTGTGACAACAATGCCAATTTCAACGAAGCCAATTTCAAGACCAATTTCCAAAGGAATTGTGATTGGGGAAGGTGGCAACAGTTCGAAGCCTAAGGAAAGTGTTGATAATTCCTCAATAAAAGACAAAGGCAAAACGATTGTGGTTGAAAAGTCAAAGGAGGAGAAGAAAGCTGAAGCAGAGGCTGAGGTTGAAAAGCTCTGAATCGTGCAAAGCATTATGCGACTTCGTGCGAATGATCCACCTGGGATGAACAAGGGTGATCCTTCAAAGCATTACAATTATGAAACGATAGAGTTGAAAGTTGCATATAATCATATGTATGCTTTCGAAAAGAAGCCAAAGCAGAGCTATGTTGTTCTCAACACAGATATGAGCCAATTGGATTTTCCCATTAATGAGATGATGTTTATTATGGCTCAGTACAAAATAGCTGAGAAATTTGACAATGATGATGAGTACACTTACATGAAGATCAAAATTTCATGATGTACTTGGAAAGCTTCCAGAGGAGATTTGGTCACTGGTAAAGATAAAGAAGGTGATAAGCATAAAGCGAGATGTGCTATTCGAAAATATGATGCAGAATCTTCGCTTCATTGTTTCGAGGGCAAATGGGCAAGTTTGTGATTTTTCTGTGGCTGACTTTCCTTTAATGAACTTGTATGATCTGATATAAGTTGCATTGTTATTAAAGGATAAAGATGCTTCATATCTTCGAGAACCTGATCCTGAAGTTTTTCGACTTGGGTTGGCTCACATCAAGATTTTCATTGACAACTATTATGAGTGTTTAGCACTTACTGATGTTGAGTTAGCTACTGCAAAGGGATTGACATTAAAAGTGCCAATGAAACTTCCTTTAACTCAACCTGAGTTGAAGAAGTATGCAGACGGAGAAATTTGTTTGAAGCCATTTGGTTTGATATTTGCTGGGAAGGATAAAAATGGGAAAGCTAAAAGATTCTTGTTTCAAGCTTCCGAAGTGGAAAGATACACAACATCCCAATATACGAATTTCATTGTTCGTATGAATAGCTGCAAGAAAAATAACGAAGGAGATAAGAAGGAGCTGAAGAAGATTATATCATGGTACACTGAGATTCGAAAGGGTTATGTTGTATGCTATACAAATTCTCTTAAACTGACGAAGGTCGACATTATTACAAAGGGGGAGATTGTAAGGGTCGAATTTAGTTGTAATATGTCGAAGTCTTTTGTACCCTTCGTATGTTTGTTAAGTTTATTTACTGAGGTGTATTTCGTACGAAGCTTAAGTGTCAATGCCTTAGTATTTTTTGTATGCTTTCACTGTTCCTATAAATATGGAACTTTACTAGAGTTAGATAAGAGTCCTTTACAGAACCTGTCTATTTTCTCTGTAAATGTTAAAAGCATAAATGAGCAGAAACCAGATCTTATTTACATCGTTTGTTCAATCTGCATTCGTTTTACTCTGATTTTGATTAATACTTGATTCTACGTTTCATCACAATATAGTTTAATTCCTAATATAGTATATGCATATGTCTAGTTTAGAATAAGTTAGTATTGCAATTATTGTATTTCTAGTTTGATTGTTTCAAAGAATTTGTAAAAGGCACCATATAGGTAGCCTATACTGAGCTAACCCCAAGCTCATACCTCAAGGTTAAATATTGAAACACTATTAATCTTTTGGACATGTAAGGTTTAAACCTAAAACTCGTTTATGAAATTTCACACATCAATCACTAAACAATTATCGTTAGACATGATTTTATTTTCTAATTTAAAAAAAAAGAAACGTATACATAAAAATTAGGCAATAAAGAATTCCAAAATACATACTCTTAGTTTTTTGCAAAAGAAGTGTAACGTCCTAAAAATCATAGGGTAAAAATTTCATTTTTAATATATATTCAAACATTCATTTATCCTTCATTCACTACTAGAAAAACAGCTTTTTACGATGCGCAATGCGTGTCGTAAAACGCTCAGACGACGCGCAAATGCACGTCAAGGAAGGCCCTATCATAACGAGAGACGGCACGCTTTTGTGCGTCGTCTATAGACGACGCGCATTTACGACGCACATTTATGACACGCAATGCGTATCATTAAAACCCCTGTCAAGAAAGGCCATGTCATAAATGAAGATGACACACATTTTTACGTAAATTTAAATATTAAAAAAATATATATTTATATATTTATTAATTTTTAAATTAAATTTGCATTTAATGTCTCATAATAGAAATAAAATACCATATACAAAAAATACAATCCATTGCATAAAATTTAATGTCATACAATTCTATTTCTTACAATATATAAATTTGCATTCATCTAATCTACTATGTGTTTCATACTAACAATTGAAATGAAGAATGCAACACTTGCATTTGCAGCATCTTATCTCTTTCAGCTTGAGCTTTCTTTTCCTCTTCTAACTCCAGAGCTATTCGCTTTCATGAACCCTGTAAACACAACACAAAATCACTTGTCATTTTTCATTCTACTTTTAAAATTAATTCTTATTAGGGCACTCTACTTTTAAACCTACCAATCTAGCAAAAATTTCAAAGAATATAATTTATAATACTAACCAGGCCACCTCCTTCGTCATCATCAAAATTATCAGGATTTACACCCATTTCTTGCATTCCAGATTGATCAGTAATGGCAGATACCTGTAAATTAGTAGATTATTAATAGTGTTTGACACAATTTTAGAGAAAATGACAATAGATTTGGCGAAATGTAAAGAAAAAATATTCAAGGCAAACTTGTAAACAGTTGGCACGTTTTCTGCAAAGGTGTTCATTCTGCATCATGTCAAAAAGAAACATATACATATAGCTTCCATGAATAAGTGCATGCTTCTTTTTGACTTGATAGACTTAATATTTGTTTTTTAACCTGTTAAATAGTGTGCCAAATTTAAGTTGTTGTTGATATTGTGTTTGGTTTTAAGTTACTAATCATGTTGTGATAATAAATAATTGCAATTGTATATAATTATTTATATCAAATAACCAGCCATTTACAATTTCAGTTTGTAAAAGTACTTGATTAAACAGTCAGTTCTTGTTCAAGATCACTTCCAAACAGAAAGGGTAAAATGATCATTCATTAACATCCAGACGATTAATCTTAACACAATCACATGAGAAATTTGTACCTTCATCATTCGACCTGCAATCTCCAATTTTCCATTTAAATTGTATGCAGCTCTAGAATCTTCAAGGCGTGCAAACTGAATAGTAACACAAAAAAGTCTTGTTCTTCTTAATCCCTTTAAATCAATAAAAGCCAGCATCTAAAATCTAAATATATGGAAAAGTAAACTCACCTGAATGAAACCAAAAACTTTACAATTTCCAGTCTCATCAGTAGGTAACTGCACCAGCTCTACAACACCAAATGATTCAAACACCTGACAAGTGAACAAATCTAGATTATTTTAAACACATTTAAAAAATCGTGTGATATTTGAAATTTCTAAAAAAGAAAGGTGGAGAAACCTGGCGAAGTTGATCTTCTTTCATATTGTAATGAAGATTGCCAACATACAATTTTCTAGCCCCCCTGCATATGTTGTACCACCTGCAACTCCAGCAGCTGTTGCAGTGGACTGTACAAAAGAGTTGATGTTAGGGGCAAAACAGTCATTTAATATGATCAAATAAGATCTCTTTCATCAGCCTTGAGAGATATCTGTAATTTTGTTGGAATGGGAAATGAACCACATAAGAGTTTATGTTAGGGGGAAAAGAGTCATTTAATATGATCAAATAAGATCATGTCATATTACCTGATATGCAAAGACTAAGCTCTGATCTCTTTCAGGATCGACCTCTGGCTCTACTGCTCCTTCCTTTTTGTCTTTATATTGCCTGAAAAAGAACATTTGAAATTCATACTTAATTCATTATTTGCAAGCATTTATAATGCAAGAATGATTCTTCAATTTGTGTAAACCACATATTAAGTTCTTTGTTTGCATATTCAAAAGCGATCTGGAGAAGAAAGTAATAGTTAAAAGCAACAGAATAGGCATACACCACTATGTAACTCAATTCGATTTTGAGGTGACAATAAAAGATAGGTTTTGTACCTTTTCTAATGAACCTAAGCTTACTTGATTGAACATCAAGAATTATCTATGATTAGACATTTCCAAAGGGTAATTAAAATTTGAAATTCTTGCAAAAGTTTGTTGATTTTTTGGATATCCGGATATTTTTATATCACCTTCAATATAACCACCTGTTTTCCTTCCTGCTAAAACATCCATTAATGTTGTTTTTCCAGCTCCACTTACTCCCATCAATGCAGTCAAGATTCCAGGCCTAAATGCACCCGTTACACCTCGAAGTAATTGTAACCTATCTTCTGTCACCCATTGTTCCTTCATTTCCTATTTAATTCATTATTCAAATTTTACTTGATTGAACATCAAGAAAATATCAGCATGTGTACTTGGCTTTAAGTTCGCTTCCATGGCATAAAGAATTATCTCACAAGATAACTTACGCAGACTATTTATAGGGGAATCTTTTATTGATGATTTGACAGGAGACAAAGCTGTACAAGATGTTTCATTTGCTGATTGAGATGGAGATCCAATTCCATGAACTAAAATCAAAGAAGACTCCGGATTTGGAGACTGAATATGAGACATTTCTGCAGATGTGACAGAAGAAAGAAGAGATGGTAGAAAAGAATCCCAATATATATATACCGAATACTGTATAATCTACGCAAAGCAAAAAGAAGAAACTCTGATCTTGGTGCATGACCACTACACCGGATAACCATAGATACAAACACATACTCCAACACAGCACGCAGTTGTTCTTGACCCTGGAAAGATAAACCATAAACAACTACAGTATAAGATAAATTAGATGCTAATGAAAATGCTTTATGTAGTTAGAAACTTACAGGAAACTGAGTCTGAAGTTGCTCAAAGTCTAAAAGAAACTGCCCATCGCACGGAGGAATGTGGATGTCTCTATTGAGGGCAATAACAAACTTTTCTAATGAACCTAAGGGTGACATGATAATATTAGTGTTTGAACCTGCTAACAACTTTCATTTCATGATTAGACGTTTCCAAAGGGCAACAAACTCAGCTATGGCGGGAGGTGGTGGTGCATGCTCTAGAATTAGCTCTTTTAAATGTGCCTGTAAAATAATATACATGTTAGATGACTTCAAGTAAATTACATTTTTTGGTCCCTGGGCAATGGATATAGCCTATTTTGTTTTTTTCAATTTTGGTCCTAAAGAGATTTTCTCTTGCAATTTGGTCCTTATTTGAGGACCAAAACTGAAGAAAGCAGCTATAGAGCTATACTCAGGAACCAAAAATGTAATTTACCTAACTTCTTACACATATTTTGGACTGAAAGATTTGAAATTACTTTTTTGACCTCACCTCATCTAAAGCAATAGAATATAACCCTCCAGTTTCTTGGCATAAATACTTGCACATATAAAGTTCTGCAGAGAGACCAATAACTGAACACCTAATCTTGGAGTTTTTACATTTCTGAATAGTCTCCATTACATCTCCTGGATCACAAGTACTTAGAGATGAATATAAAATGATAACTTCACGATAACCATATGATGGGATTTGATCAAGCTGTTCATGTACAAGTTCCAAAGCATTTTGTAGAGAAGCTTCACCTGCACACTCGAGTTTTCCCATTAAGACCTTTATATGAGACAAGCATTCACAATAATACATAAAAATATAAAACTAATGCCACAGAGGGTATCCTAACATCCATACGACTCTTGTAGACAAGTGAACTGATATCCAAAAGCAAAGCCTCTGTAAATCAAATCCCACTACTCCCATAACAGCATTTCTACAACAGAACAGATACGAATAAGATGATGCTACTGGAAAGGTGGAGGATAATGAAAATCATAACATGACATCATCATCACCCTGCCAAAAGGCCCACCAACTTCAAAGTTCAAACCCCAATCTTGCAATTTCAATCTTTTATACGGATTTGTAAAAGCCTAAACCCGAGTCCATGAGTCTGGCTTAGAACCCCGAATGACCATCTGAGGATTGATCTACCACATCTGCGAATTCCCAGAATCTAGGGTTTAATATTCTATTCTCAAAACATATGTTCAATATTCATAATCTATGTTTCCACTAGCAGAAACACACCATTAAGCAACCCACGAATGCACGTACAAGGAAATAAAGATTCCCTTCCCAAACAACAAAAGAAGTTGCAATTAAAGTAGGGAGGACTATTGCTAATATTGAACTAATCATTATGTCTTAAGAAGGTTAGCAGAGAAGCAAGGGTAAACAGGTAAATAGTGAAAGCAGAGATACCACAAAGCATAAAGCACATACTATCAATACAAGCAGAAAATAAAGAGACAACAAGAACATAGAAAAATACATGCTTTCACGATCACGATCAGGTTCTCTAATTTCCCTTTCTTTTTCTTTTTCTTTTTCTTTTTCTTTTTCTTTTTCTTTAACCTCTCTATCACGACTGTTTTCCCTGTCCCTTTCACTCCCATGTCTTTCTGATCTGCTTCCACTTCGATGTGGTCTTTCATGTTCTTTCTCTTTCTCTTGATCTCTCTCTTCCCTTTCTTTCTCAGGCTCACGTCCATGTTCCATTTTTACCCTGACCCTGTCCCTCTCCCTATCCATGTCACCACCTCTGTCTCTTTCTCTTTCTCTTTCTCTATCTTTATCTCTACCCTTTCAATTTTTGTCCTCCCTGCTCCTATCTTTATCCCTATCCCTATCTCTAGTTTCACGGGTACCCCTTTGTTTGTCTCTATCACTCCTATCCCCATATTTTGGAGATGAACGATGGTGAGAACGTCATCCAATTTTCTTGTTAAAAATCAAAATCTGAAACAGCATCAAAGGTTAAAGAAATTCAAACAAGAAAGTGACAAACTGAAATTACCTACGTGGGAAGTGGGATTAGAAAGATAGCTAAACTAAACCTTGGAACTTGTTGAGACCTGAGGGCTGGCCGGCGGAGGTTGCCTTCTTCAATGTTCTTAACATTGTATAGACCGTATAGTAGTGGAGGTTGGAGACTAGATCACTAGAGGGTAGAATAGACTGAAATTAGAGAGTTGGTTACTTTATTAGAGCTCGATCGGAGTGGAATCGGAGATTAGGGAGCGGAAGAAGAGAGAATCAGAGAAGTTTGAAGTTTGGATTGAGTTTTTAGGGATCAATTTCAACTCAATTAGTAAAGAGTCCAGAATGATTACACCTCCCTGTACCTCACTCAATAATTGAAACCATAGAATCGTATACGTTTGTTGTTTACAAATCTGTTGTTGAACCCTGAAGAATCGACCTAGGTATTCCCACTGCTGAAGATGAAGATGAAGGCCCTAGGGATTTTTCTTGCTAAGTTGAAGAGGAGGGGGGTTTGATTTTTGGGATCCAATAGGCGGGGGTAATTTTCGTCGATTTCATTTCCCACCTAAACGCGTGTTTCACTTAAAAATTATAAAGCGACACATTTACATGACGCACATTTTATGAAAGGCGCCCTCCGCATTTATTTTTTTTCTTTTCTGACACTAATTTTAGGGCACGCATATATGCGTGTCCTCTATCCTTAAAATTTTGGAAAACTGACATTAGTTTTTAGGGCACGCACAAATGCGTGTCCTCTATCACTGTGTGTCATTGTTTGCGCGTCATTAAAGAGTTGTTTTCTAGTAGTGATTCAAACATTTAAAAGTATTTCAGAAAAGAACAATTATCAGAGTACAATCCCAAAATCACGAATTGCGGAAAACACTGGTGTATGCGCTGCGATCAAGCCGGGGTATTCCCTTTCGAACCGGAAGTACCTGAAACCATAAACCACAAACTGTAAGCACAAAGCTTAGTAAGTTCCCTAAATATCACATACTATACATAACAAACATACTGCCAAGCATATTCGAGTTCTGGCCTACCCCTTCAGTCTATTTCAACCGGATACTAGCGAGCATATCTGGGTGCTTGACCTGCCCCTTCGGTTTATTTCAACCGGATAATGATGGGCATATCTGGGTGCTCGACCTGCCCCTTCTCTCTATTTCAACCAGATTACGCCGAGCATATCTGGGTACTCGACCTGCCCTTTTCGGTCTATTTCAACATGATACCGGGTCTATTTCACCCCTTACCACTACTACATAATATCATACATAATTTACGGAATCATCAAACAATACATCTTCAATCAATAATTATCACAAAGATAATCATCATGGTATACCATAACTAGTGGCCCGGCCTTGGTGCCTTCGACCCATGAAATTCTACGAAGGGAGACTCACCTCGACAACTGAAACCACAAATAATCTCTGCCTGCTGATCCGCTAGAATCCCCGTGCTATCAAACAAATAACACTCAATTAACCATTGGGTTCCAAACCAAATCCAATAATCTATACATGGGGGTAAAAAGACCATTTTACCCCTCACCTAGTTTGGTTCAAGACTAAGGCCCAAACTCCCCATCATAAAGGCCCACAACCAAAAGTCATCCAAAGCCCACTTATGGCCCAATTTTCCATATTGGGCCCAACCCTTACATGGGCCTTAACCTAAAGCCCAATAACTTATTCCTAATCCAAAACACATATTCACAGCTAGTCCAACAAACCCCAAGCAATTGAAGCCCAAACGATAGCCCAAATCCGAAATGACACCACAAGGCCCAATAAGGCCCAAATATCTTAATTAGGCTCAAATCCATCATGGACCTATCCCGAGAAGGCCCAATATTCAAAAAGGCCCAAAAAGATCCAATGGTCCACCCTAGTCCACTACTGGTCAAAGGTCAAATGCCCAAAAAGTCAACAAAACAAGAAAGGTCAAACAGGTCGAGTACGCCCCGTGTACTTAGCTGGTACGCCCAGCGTACACCCTTTGGGGCCAGTACGCGTAACGTACCAGATGGGTACGCCCAACGTACTCCCATGAACCCCAATCTCCTCCATTAAGCACTTAATCAATTAAGTCCTTGCTCCAAACTCTCAGACCTGATTCCCCTAGATGACTTGTTACGTAAAGTTGGAAACTTTACTTGCATACATGGCTTAGTGGGACTCGAGAGCTCAAAAGAGCTTAATGAAAGGTCATAACACATGCATGCGTCCATATCAACCATAAAGATCACATGTTTATGCCTTTGGGACACCTAAAACGTCCAGATCCACAAGATCAAACCTCTGAAACAACTATAGCTCACAAGAACCACCAAAAGAGGCTAAAATGACTAAGAACAAACCAAAAAGAAGATCTAACCGAAGAGTGAGCAAGATAGAGACTTTATACCTTCAAGATCACGAAATGATGATGTAACTTGTGGATCTCTAAGCTCCTTTCAAGATAGTGACTCTTCAACCTTCTCCTTCTCTTGCACAAGCCACCACAAACACTCTTCCAAGCTCCAAACTCACTTAAGGCACTCTAGGGCTTCAAGGTAGATGGAAGGGGATGGAGGCTGACTTAAAAGACCCAAAGGAAGGCCATAATGATGTTTATATAGGGTAGGAACCCCAAAATTAGGGTTTTGCTCTGAAGGGAGTACGCCCCACGTACCCCTTCGTACGCCCGACATACTTTAAGACTATCCACGACCACTTAACCCTCTACGCGCCGCGTTCACAATGAGTACGCCCCACGTACTCATTGAACCTCTAAAACCCTAGACTTCACTTGGCTCTAACTTCTTCGTTCTAAGTCCGTTTCCGACGAACTTTATATCCACGGAAAGGTGACGAGAAGCCCTACACTTCTATCAACTCACCCCCGCCTAAGAACTTTCCGAACAGAAACCCAATATTCCAAAGGACCAACTTATCAAATTACGATGATACCCTTGGCCTCCGAAACACAAATGAACACCCAGATCACTTAGACTATAACACCCACATCCAAAAAGGGCCAAATCCTTTCTTCCCCAAGGCTCAAAGCCTTATGATGACTGATGACTCAGCCACGACCCCGAACAGTGAAACTATTCGAAACCGAGTGTTACAAG